CGTGGTAGCGCGCGCCTGTAATTCCAGCTACTCGGAAGGCTGAGGCGGAAGGATCGCCGGAGCCCAGCAGACGAGGCTGCGGTGGCCGGGAGCGGCCACTGCACTCCAGTCTGGGTGACAGAGTGTGACTCCAACTCAAAAAAAAAAAGCGTAAAAAATAAGATGATTGACGATGGATAGATGTATGGACAGACAGAAGGATATGCAACAAAGCAAATATAGTAAAACTATAAAATCGATATTGTAAAATATACATATTTGGTTTTATGTAAATATTATGTAAAATATATAAATCAAATACAATCAGTGGATATACAGATGTTCACTGTATAATTCTTTCAACTTTTGTATACATCTACATTTTCATCATAAAATACTGGAAAACAAAAATAGTGTCTTGATTTCAAGAAAAATATTAAATCAATAATAGCACATGTGGTCGAATGAATTGGCAAAAATTATGAAGGTGGTGGTGAATGATGTTTGGCAAACAGGGATTTAAGTGAAAGTACCTTGGCCAGGATCAGAAGGTTCTAGGAATGTGCAGTCACAAGGCAAAGGGCCGAGGCAAAGAAAACAGGAGGTGGCTGAGCCCTAGAGGAGAAGGGAGAAAGCCCTCACCTCTATGATCAAAGCAGCTCATCAATTCTTGCACCCACTTGTCGCTGCTACCCCCACATACAGTCCAGGAATGTAGCTGGAACCTGCGGAGGAAGGATCTGGTCTGAGCTGCGCCTCCTTCCCTTCCCAAGCTCTTTCCTCATTCCAGAGGCATGAAGTGGCCCCCAAGAAAGAGCTAGTTCTGTTGGCACTGGGAAATCCCCACGAAGGTGGGAAGAACTGGAGCAAACAGAACACAGAGGGGGGCCCGGTGCGTCCAGAAGGAGTTCAGGTCTGACTAGAAAAGGTACTGGAGGCACCTGGCAGGGAGGTTCGCTCAGGCACCGCCCTCCCGGAGCCGTGTGAGATTACCTGACGAAGCGTGAACACCGATGGTAGGCTTTCAGGCGTCTTCGGAGACGATCCATCTCCTGACTGGATGGAGGGGCGTTCGAAGGAAATATTTTATCACAGCGACAACTTCCAGTGGCGCTGCCCTCGTTGCCATCGCCTGAGCGGGACAGAGGTAGTCGGCACAGGTTCCCAGGTCAAGGGTCTGTCTCCCCGCCGCTGTTACTTAGCCTCCAATCCACTGCCCCATTACAACCTCTCCTAGACTCAATGATCTGACCTCAGGCTCAACCCACACATCATGACATCCCCGCAAACGTCCACAATCCCACCTGAGCTCAGGTGTCCCCCAGCCTCTGTCCCCAACCCCAGGCCGCTTGGCCTTCCCCTTGTCCCGGCTGCCCTGAGGGTCCTGGCACTTAACTCCGTGGCCCCAGTGTCGCCTCCCCCCGCCCATTCCCTCCTTGAGACTCGGGGATCTGGGTCCCCAACAGCGCCCCTGACTAACCAGGCACCGTCAGCCATGCCAGCAGGAGAAGCAGGAGCGCGCGGGACCCGGGTCGCCAGCCCGGCCCCATCTCGGGGCTCGGCAGAGCTTGGGGGGAATGGAGCCGCCTCTCCCTTCTGGCTCCCAGACAGGCTCCGGAGCGTGACGTCCAGCTGCTTTCTCAAGGACTTTCGCTTCCTTTCCGGTCCGCCTGAGACTCGAGGAGACCGCGGCCGTCGGCGCCGGGTCCCAGCAGGGGAAAGGGCGCGAGACGACGACGACTCCTGCCCGCGC